AATTGAAATTGGGTTTTAGAATACCCTTCTAATATATTTGCAGATCATTTCCATATCGCGTATAATCCTAGACTGTAATACTTCTGATAATTGAATGATTAACAAATGTCATATCTTAACTAGAGATGTAAACTTGATTAAATTTAAGTGCTGAAATAATTTATTTTTCGAAAATAATAATTTTGAAAATTACTAAACTGTAATAGATCATAATTAAATTTAGAATTACAAAATGCAAAAATTTTATTTAATAATTAAGAGATATATCATGCAATAATTTTAAATTATCTGAGACAAATTGACATTATATTTGTTATTTTGAAATTTCTTTCGAACTTGTTTTATTAATGTGATCGATAAATCAGCTACCACAAATTTATTTTTTAAACATGTTACAGTAACCAAATATCTCAAACAGATATGTGTTCAGAAAAACAAAATACAATATTTTAAACTGATTTAAGCAAATTTATTTATAAATAGTTAGAGTTAGGGTGAGAGTTAGAGTTTAAATTAGCTCAAAATTGTTAGTTTTTATAGAGTATAATTTACTATACTAAATAAGAATCCCGAATAAATAAAATTAAATAGTAAACTTTCATGAAAATATTTAGATTACAGATCGTGGAACTCGTCTGAATACTTTTACTATGGATAATATCAGTACAAGTACAGTATAAGTTTATAATAAAAAATTTTTTAATTTTGCTTAAAAAAATTCATGTAATTAATTTTTTTGGGTTTACACAAAATTATTGTTCTACAAAGTTTGTAAAGTTAAATTTTTTTAAAAAAATTCTGTATTAGTAAAATTATAATATTTTAATAAAGAAAGTCATGAGCTTTACATCATCGAAGTTCGCTAGCAATACGTTTTATAGTAGAGGTTGGAACCAGTTTCAATAATAATATAAATTTTGTGATATTTTCGAATTTATCATAAATTTACTCAATCAAATTTTGGTAAATTTTAAATTTATGTGATAAACTCGAATTATTATTGAAACCTGTTCCAACCTCTAGTTTATAGAACGCTAAATATTGTTCTCTAAGAAATTTAAATGATATGGAATAATAACTATAACTATGATAGTCACTATATATAAAATCATTAGACACATCTTTTTTTTTCTTTTTTTTTTTGCTGATATAAAACAAATTAAAAACAAAAAATGTATATAATATAATTTACAGCACAATTTCAATAATGTACTTTGTAAATTTGTTCACTTAATATCCTTCAGCTTCTTCTACAGAATCTGTCTCCTTCTCCAACTTTTCGTAATCCTTCTACAAGGCAGCCAAGTCTTCACGCCTTCAAGAAATTCATTTTTTCCATACCTTCAGCAACATACAAATTGAAATCAAAAACAATTTTAATATTGAAACACAATGAAAAATTTGCAAAAACTAGCACGTTTATTGTACATCATATCAAATTTATGGTCAAGGCGTGCCCAAGCTTCGCCAATGGCAGTTGTATTTGACAACATACATACTACACGTTGAGCTTTAGCAATATCATCACCTGGTATGATAGTTAGAGAATTGTGATTAATACCAACTTTAAAACTAGTAGAACACCAATCAACAAATTGGATAGAGCACATAGTCTTGATGGTGGCGACTGCAGAGCTGATATCCTCAGGGATGACATCATCATGGTATGATACACAACAAGCCAAAAATTTGCCATGGTGAGGATCGCATTTAACCATTTGGTTGTCTGGGTCAAAGCAAGCGTAAGTGATTTCATTATCGGCAAGGTTCATGATAAGTTTTGTCAGCTGAGATAATTGGTGCATATGCGACCAATGGGAAATGGATACGAGGATATTGGACAAGGTTTTCTTGGAAGTCAGCCAATTTGTTGTTGAGGGAACTGTCGAATCGTAAAGAAGCAGTAATAGAAGTTATTACTAGAGCGATTAATCTATTTAAATTCGTATAAGTTACATGAAAGCACAATCCAAATGCTCTATTGCGATATGAGTTGTCAAAATAGAATTATAGGGTTCGACAATTGCTAATAAGACTTGCGGCGCAGGATAAATAGAAAAATCTAGTTTAGACTTCTTTTCATAGTCGTCAGTGAGACGTTCTAAAAGCAAAGAACTCAATCCAGAACCAGTACCACCTCCAAAAGGGTGGAAAATTAAAAATACTTGAAAATCAGACAATTGCCTGCGAGTTTGCAAATACGATCGAGGACTAGATCAATGATTTCTTTCCTAATAGCGTAATAACTACAGGCATAGTTGTTTGCGGCATCTTCTTTGCCAGTAATTAGTTGTTCCGGGCAGAACAATTGACGGTAGGTACCATTACGAACTTCATCAATGACTGTAGGTTCTAAATCAACAAACACTGCATGGAGAACATGATTACCCTCCTTTGTTTTGGAGAAAAAGGTATTACTATCAATTCCAACGAATTGACCATCAGGCTAAAGAACATGAATAAGTAAATTTGTTAAATTATGTAATGATCATTAATTTTAATTAATATATATATATTTATTTCTTATTTTAATGTAAGTTAACAAATAAAGTACAAGTAAATACATATTTTTTTAATACGTAAAATTTAATTTTTTTTTTTTTTTTAGAGTTTACTTACTTGGATACGTCGACTCCTCAACCTGTATCATTCGTCAATAGCACTGCCACTTTCTTTTTGCATTTAACTAAGCATAATCTTCATTTCTAGCATTGATGATCTTCAACTCAAATTTAAAATTTATCACTGTTACTGTAATACCACATACCTGGTATATTTATCCTATTTATCGTTTTTGAAAA